GATTACCCCAGTCACTGAATCAATCCACCTCATAGAGGGCCTTCCCCTCCTGCACTGCCCCTCCACCCTCCCAAGCATGATGTCCCTCTCCAAGGACCGGTCTTCTCCTTACAACATGTCCAAAGTATGTTAGACGGAGCCTCAGAATCCTTGCCTCCAGGGAGCCGCCCAGTTTAACCCTCTCCAGGATGAATCTGTTTGTTTTCCTAGCAGTCCATGGTACCCTCAATACTTGTTGACTGTGGATCCGAGTAAAATGAAATTAATGACACTTTCAATCTTTTTACCATCTATCATGACCTTGCCTACTGGCCTTAAGGAAGTGCTTCAAGTCTTGTCTTCTTCACTTTGTACAAACAAGGTTGTTTCAGCTGCACAATGTAGATTATTAATGCAGCTTTATTCCAATCCTGATGACACAGTCTTCTTTAGAGTCCAGCTTCTCTTATTACTTTATCAGGATACAGACTGAACAGGTAAACAGACAGGATACCACCCTGCCTAATTTAAAGCCATGCAGTATTTCATGTTTTAACAGAATGACTGTTCCTGGTACAAGTTTCATATGAACAATTAAGTGTTTTGGAATGCCCATTTATTTTTTTTTTTTTCTCTGAGTCCACAATTTATTATGACCCACAAAACCAAATGCTTTGGACAAAGTGCAACCAAGGTGCTCCTTGGAGGCAAGCCTAGTGAAACTTTGCCTCATGCACTTTGAGGATGTTGTTAGGAGAGGCCAGTCCTTGGAAAAGGGCGTCATGCTTGGAAAGGTGGAGGTCAGTGAAAAAGAAAACCCGTAACAAAATAGACACAGTTACTGTCAAAATAAACTCAAGTTTATTACTAAGTCGTAATTGACAGCACATGACAGTAACTTTTTTTTTGGCCAATGTCTTCAGTGCTGCACAGACTTCTTCTGATTATTATTTGCTACTTCTTGAGATAGTTTAGCAAAGATCAGTTCTTTTTCTTGTGTATTCCTCCATCTTGTTTTTTTTATATTTTTTAAGTTTATTTGATTTCAGTGTGTGTGTGTGTGTGTGTGTGTGTGTGTGTGTGTGTGTGTACCGTCAAATCAGATCTGACTGGTATAGGAGGAGATTGTTCTTCCTCCTCCAGCAGAGCATCTGGTGGATTTGAACCGTACACCTCTGAGATTGCAGTTGCAGCTTCTTGCCACTAGGCCACCAGATCCTCCATCTTGTTTTGATGCTTCCTACATCATTCACTATTTTACTCAAAGAAGTCTTCATTATTCCAAGTTGAGGCTTGACTTTTTCCTTCAGTTCTTTCAAGAAATGCCAAATGTGCTCTTTCTTCCCTTTGGGTTTTTCTAACTCCAGGTCTTTGTACATTTCAATATACTGTCTTGTCTTCTGGTGTTATCCTTTGAAATCTTCTGCTCAATTTCCTTATTTCATCATTCTCTCCTTTCAGTTCAACAGCAAGTTTCAGTCTCTTCTGACATTAATTTTGATCTTTTCTTTCTTTCCTTTTTTACTTGGGTAAAAAAATGTCATCCCACAATTTGTCTGATCATTAGTGTTCAATTAACCTTTTCCATTCTTTTCACCTTCTCTATTCTTGAGACTGTTTTGGGTTTACTGGTTTGCATACAATAATTTGTTTACATTGTTTCATTCACGTACATTGTTTTGTTTATGGGGTTTGTCTTTTTGGGTTTTTTTTTTTTTTGGTCCTCTCCTTCCACCCACCAAATTCTGCAACCCAGTAATATCTCACTCCTTTCTCTCCCTTAAGCCCCTTGTCTCTCCCCTTCCATCTTTGGATATCCATACACATTTTACTGATTATCCTTCCATTTTACAATAATAGTCTTATGCAGTATTTGTTCTTATGCACTTTGGTTTACTCAGCATAATGTTCTCTAGCCTCTCACATGTTGTATAGTATTTTTCAAAATTGTCGTTCCTGCGTGCTGCATAGTATTCCATTGTGTAAATGTACCACAATTTCTTAATCCAGTTGTTTGTTGATGGACATTTGGGCTGTTTCCATGTTCTTGTTATTGTGAATAATGATGCTATACACACTGGTGTACAAATCTCCATTTGTGTTAAGACTGTTTAAAATCAGGTGGTATAATCAACTCAAGGTCCTATGTTGGCTCTCATGGACTTGTTTTCATTTCTTTTAGCTTCAATTTGAACTTTCATATGCATAAATGACAGTCTATTCCACAGTGACAATGTTTTGACTGCTGAATTGAGATTTTCCACAAATGTAATTAATCTGAATCTTATAAAAAAAGTTGTATTTCTTAAATACAAGAAGTAATTAAAATTTAGCATTGTAGGTTCAAGCAGATTTTTAAGAACTGGCTACATAGTTGAAATGTTAATATTCTTTTATTGTTAGGTGCCACTCAGTCAAATATTACTAATAACAACCCTATGAACAGACCAAAACCTTACTCTATCCTGCAGCATCTTCACAATCTCTACCATGCTGAAGTCCATTTTTGTAGTTCTGTGTCAATCCATTTTGTTGAAGGTCTTCCTCTCTTTCACTGCTCCTATACTCTTCCCAAAATGATGTCTCTTTCAAGAACTGACATCTCTTCACAATATGGCCAAAGCTTGTGAGATCAAGTTTCATTATCTTTGCCTGTAAGGAGTATACTAGTTGTACTTCCTCAAGGCAAGTTTATCTGTTCTTTGGCAGTCCATGGGATATTCAA